ATGTAGTCACCTTAATGGCAGTATCACATAGAGGTTTCATATAAGCCCCTTCCATACAGCTGTATAAAATCCACATTGAACTGGATTATATGGCAGTGTGGACTCAGATAACCCAGTTCAAAGCAGATATTGTGGATTATCTGCCTTGATATTCTGGGTTATATGCTGTGCGGAAGGGCTCTTAGATGCCACTGTGAATGTGGCAATGTGCTGGTGCATTCTCCCTGACTGATCCCATTGCAGCAGGAGCAGTTCAACAAATCAGATTTCTTAATTCTGGTTTGTCCACTTTGACATCTTCACCTAAAAACCAGCCATGTCCCTTTCCCTACAACTGGAGGGAAAAACCCAGAGGTTCTCTTTGGCTCATTTCTCCCTTTGACAAATAGACAAGCCAGTTTTGAACCTCACAACAAACAAACCATACAAAGGAGTTGAATGGCTTGTTGAACCACTTCTGCTTGCACTGGAAATAATCTGGTAGTATTTACAGCACACTAAATTAGAATTCTATCTTGCTAGAATCCATATCTCACTTGCAGAAGCTGCTCATCACCAGCTGAATGTTGACTTCAGTGGTCCATTTCAAAACACAAAAGCATGGGCCTGAGAAAAAGAAGGAAGGTTTTGTGCCATTTTGGCAAGGTATTCATCCGTTCTGTTTTTTTTTCCTTTCACAATCTAGTACAGTATATACCAGCACAACTTATGCAAAATGATGTATGATGAAATATTAGCACAGGGGTCCTCAAACTTTTTAAACAGAGGGCCAGATCACAATCCCTCAAACTGTTGGAGGGCTGGATTATAATTTGGAAAAAATAAACTTGAATGAATTCCTATGCACACTGCATATATCTTATTTGTAGTGCAAAAAAAAAAACCCAGTTAAAAACAATACAATAATTAAAATGAAGAACAATTTTAACCAATATAAACTTATTAGTATTTCAATGGGAAGTGTGGTTCTGCTTCTGGCTGATGAGGTAGGATTGTTGTTGTTGTTGTGTGCTTCCAAGTAGTTTCAGACTTAGGTTGACCCTGAGCAAGGGCCGGGTAAATGACCTTGGAGGGCCGTCTGTATATGCTGGAATCCATCCTGAGTCCCCTCAGGGACATAGGGCAGAATACAAATAAAGTGAAATTATTATTATTGCTACTACTACTACTACTACTTGGAGAACCAGAAGTCTCTTATGCCTATTTTAAATGAAATATGCTCCAGTCTCTCTCCAGCCCAGCATTCCTTTCATAATCAACAGAAAACTCTGAACACTTGCAACTTAAATCCCATTGCTTCTAAAAAAAATGATGACTGTAATCCTATATACAGATTTACCAAGCACTGATCAAACCTCACCATACACAGTGGATCTTAGTCCGAAGGATTATACTGCTTGGCTCCAATCTGGTTAATAGTCCAATCCTATGCATATTTATTCAGTTCTCCTGTCTAAACACTATTTATTCCATCATAACTAGGATAAGGACTGCAGCTTTAATTTTAAAGAAAAAGAAAAGAGCGTAACTGCATATGAGTCCTTTCTAAATTGTGACCAAGAACACTGGATACGTTGGGGAGGTTGAAAAATATGGTGCTGTTCTGATACAATGCTTTATATAGCAGAAGTCCAATCAAAGTTCAGGAGCTATATTTTCCTGACACAACTTTCTTCCTCCTCAATTTCTGTAATAAAGATTGCACTACCTAATCATAATGGTTGTAGAGTTATGAAATACGTTTTGGGTGTGGCGATGGTTTTCATTCAAACACATGGAAAGATCAATTGTGGTCACCATTTTATATACCCATGCAAAGTAAATCCCTCTGAATACAGTGGTTCCCAACCTGTGGTGTGTGGATCACCAGTGGTCAGCAAGAATGAAAATATGGTCTGTAGCTCACCATTACTAAACCATTGCCTCAAAACCATGTGGCAATGAGAGTGAGTGGTCTTGCAAACCCTCTTATACTGCTGAGGCAACAGGGATGTCGGGAGGGGAGAGGCTGATTAACCACAAAAGATTACTACTACCACATCAGCTCTAGATTATTAAATATGGTTTTCTGTGGTTGAGCAAATGGAGACTACTGGGTGGCATATGTTCTGTATCAGAAGCTAGAGCTGATGTGGTCTATCCAATGTAATTTTCTGAATCAGCACCCCCAATAACTAAACCGAAGTGTTGCTGCTAAATGTGAGAGAAATAAGGTTGAACCCTGTGAAAGCCATCCACTTCATGGCTACCAGCCTCCTCCCAGTAGACTCAAATCAAGGAAAAGCTTTATGAGAACTACCACTCCTCTTAGCGTCCCTCCAGCAACAGCAAGGGTCTCCCTCTGGGCAGCTAAACCAGGAAATCCCAACTGGATGGCCCCCCACAAGGGTCTTCCTCCAGGGGCAAACCAAGAATGGGCAACTTGGAAGTTCCTGAACAGACTCAGAAGCGGAGTGGGCAGAACAAAAGACAACCTAGCAAAATGGCACTACCTAAAAGAATCCCACACCTTATGTGACTGTAGAGCAGAATAGACAACTCCGCATCTGTATTATTATTAACTTTATTATTAATTTTATTTATACCCCGCAAAATCTCCCATAGGACTCAATGCGGCTTACAAAGGTCAAGGCCACCAACAATCAACGAGATACAATACACAATAAACTCACCACTATGCCCTGTCTCATGTACAGAGGATGAATTGTTGGAGGCTACAGACAATGCCATTGCTGTAGCCCATTTCTGGTCAAAAGATATTTAGCCTCTTGCGCTCCTTCTATTTTTATCAGTTTTATACTAATTTGTGCAATGCTTTTGATACAAAATAATAATAATAGCTGTCCCGAAAGACTAAACCTTTAATCAAAAAGGTATGGTAAGTTTTTTTTGGTTAGTTTTGTGGAGACATACACACTTACGGTTCTGGCCCAGCTTATTTGACTGAACGTACTGTATCTCCTCCTATGAACCATTGGGGGAGGCCCTGCTCTTGGTCCCACCACCTGCACAGGCACATCTGATGGGAACTAGGGACAGGCCTTCTCAGTGGTGGCCCCTCAGCTGTGGAACTCCCTCCCCAGTGATATTAGAGCAGCTCCCTCCCGCCTGGCCTTCAGAAGGATAGTGAAAACTTGGCTCTGGGTCAAGTCTTTGGAGATTTAACTACAGTGCAAAAATAACTACAAAATATGTGCAATGAGTTTTGGAATGATCCCAGATTATGATTGTGGATGCTGTGATTTTGATAGTGATTATAATGTTTATATGTTTTAATGCGCATTATAACTCTAATTTTTAAATTTAAAATTTTACTTAAATGTATTTAATTGTTTGTTCTCTAGAGCGAATTGTAAAGTCACCTTGAGTCCCCTTCAGGGTAAAGAAAGGTGGGATATAAATAGAGTAAATAAATAAATAACATATGCTGGGTCTTGCCAACAGTTTAGCAGGCATTTATCCTTACATTCAAAACCACACCTGTTATACCACAGAGCAACTTGGCCAAGGCTTACAGTGCAAGCTTATGTTTGCCCACACAAAACAGAAGCTCCACTGAATTAAGTACAGCTCATTCCCACATAATTGGGTAGAAGATTACAGCTTTAACCATCCCATACAAGCAGCTTGTTCTTTGTTTCATTTGTGGTTTGATTTCTCCCCAAATCATTTGTTCAGACTTCTAACAAAAGTTTGGGTAAGATTTTTAAAAAGACACTATCACTTTATAATATTGTATTATTTAATGTCAGATAAAAACAACAAACACTGTGAGATTTCAAAACATACTACAGTAAATAAATCCACTGTGATTTTAAAGTGCATTTTTTCAGTTGCGTACAAAATATTTAAAAACATGCAAGGCACTCAAAAGCATTGACTGGAAGAGAACTTTCCTTAAGTTACATTCATATTGGTGAGAGAGTCCAGAAAAATCCAAGAAGCTAGCTTAAACAACCAGTAAAAAAAAAGATTGAAGTAAAAGTGCATTGAGGACAACCAACTTGAGTTTTGTTTTTCACAGCATTATCTCTAGCGCCTGACAGTTTTCTTCCTCACACACCCCTTCTATAAAAGCCTATCATTATCCCTATCCACACCCCCATCCCCAAGGCACAATTTAGAATAATTTCACTGTAACATAACGGTCCTTAAGGCACTTGAATCAGCTTCATAGACAGCTAGAGAAGCAACTTGAGTGTGGTTCAAAGATCCACAGGAAGACAAAACTTGGTGCAAATGGTGGATCCCGGTTTCTGAACTTAACTGTCCACTAGTTTCTCTGTAGTCTGTCCATGTACGATTGCAACTCTATTTGTTCTAGTCCTGGGTCCACTTTCCATTCATGGTCCCTTAGCAGATATGGTGGTGAGGATCCTGTCCATACAAACCCCATGCATGATCCTTGCCTCACCATCCTTGAAGATCTTGGCATATGGAAGATAAAGGTTGTCTCTTATGCTTGACCTTGTCTAAAACAGTGGTTCTCAACCTGTGGGTCCCCAGATGTTTTGGCCTTCAACTCCCAGAAATCCTAACAGCTGGTAAACTGGCTGGGATTTCTGAAAGTTGTAGGCCAAAACACCTGGGGACCCACAGGTTGAGAACCACTGCTCTAAAACATGCTTGTAAAGACAGCTTGTGAACTCTTGAATCAAGCAAGTGATTCAACAACTAACCGCAACTCAACTTCCTCACCAAATGAATTTAAAGCATTTTGCGTCAAAATATTAAGCTACCTGTTATGAATACCCCCCCCCCCCCCCCCAAGAGTCTGCTCCTGAGCTACTCATCTCAGCAACTCAAAAGCTGCATGTTAGCAGTCTCACAACCTGGCATAATTTACCCCTCAATGTGAGGATTTTCTACACATTTGGTAGAAATACTTTCATGTATAAGCAGAAAGATTAAAGCACAAGCTGCCCAGTTGGAAGCACAGGCTTTTGTTTTCGAAGATTTTCTTGCTGCTTGAATGCAATCTTTAAGGATTTATCCTGATGTTAAGTCCTTGGACAACGCTTCTAGTAAGTGTGCAAGATTATACCTTATTTCCCGCAGGTTCAATTAACTTCAGGCTTTGCTGACACTCGTACTGCCTGGGCAGGCCCATCAAATTTAACAGGATTTCGGTTAGGTGTACTGTTTATTTAAATGGCCGTACTCCAGATAGGACCAACACTGGATTCAGCCCTGTTTGCATCTCTCCATTTATGAGATGGGTGGGTGCAGCTTTACTGACATTGCTGGGCTCCAGTTCCCAACATAGCCAGTGGCGAGGAACACCCCTGAATTAATTAATGGCTATGAAAGTTGTAACATGTTATGCAAAAAGCAGCTCACTCTTTGTTTTATGATGATTTGCATCACTGGGAAATGAACAACTTCCTTTATTAGAGCAGGAAGGACTCTTGATTTCTTCTCCCCAGAACAGTCAGCTGGAAACCCCAATTTTTATGGATGGGGGAGCAGAAGCTCTCAAAAAAGCGTGTTTTAGTGGAGAGACTGTCAATTGTTGACCTCTAAACTCAAGGGGCTTTAAGAAACCCACAGCTTTCATAAGTATTGGGATAAACATTTCCAAAACGCAGCTCTTTTACCAGTTCAGACGCTGTACCATGATATATGAATGTGAATTCATGTTCTCTGTATGCAAACTAAAACAACACAACTCATGTGACTGAGATATAAAGAAATGTTTGGCTCTCCCCTACATAAAAGCAGAAGCACAGTCCAAATGTTGTTGGACTGCAAAACCCAGCATCTCTATTCAAGCTAACTAATTGTGAGGGAGGTTGAGACTTGCAGCCCAACAACTTCTTGAGGGCTACATGAATCCTACCTTGCACTAGCAGTATGTAGGGAGATTTAATGGCAAGCTGCCATGCCCACGCTTTCCCATGACATTAAGCTGGTATCCTACACCTTCTGCAGATTCATCCTTGGATCCACACTCCTTCTTATCCAGAAAAGCCAACTTTTTACTGATGGCTGGGTACCTTCTAGCTCATGGTTCATTAAGGAACTGATACAAAAAGGAGCAAAGAAGAGCAGCTGAGTAAGGCAACGAGTGTAAAACACTTGGAGAAAACTCAGAAAAGTTATTTTTCCATAGAACTCCCAAGGCATACTGACAGGGGGGATTGTGGGAGCTGCAATCCAAAATATAACATTTTCAAATTCTAGTGGTAGTCCTAACTACAGTAGACCTCCTGAATCATAGATTTACATAATCTTTAAGCAGTTGACTTGTCAGTCTACAAAATGATTCTGTGAGGCTACTCTAGTTGGATTCAGGCTACCAAGTGAGATAAATAATATCAAACTGGGCTGAATAAATACTCATTCTGTGATTTGAACCATCCTTGTTTTGTAATGGAGAACCTACTTATTCCCCATCTTATTAAACTCATGGAAAAAAGCTTTAACATTATTTCAAGCCAGATGACCCACCAGCTCAAAGACATTATGTGTAAGCACATGCAAGAGTTAGTCTTTTAAAATGTACATATGTTTATTCTTCACGCCCTTGCTTCCCAATCCAACACTGCTGTCAAGGCATATTAATAATATAATAAGCCCTTCACCAATGCCAACTAACTCTTAACAATGAAGCTACAAGATTACACAATTGAGCTGCAAAACGACTCTCTCACCTCAGCAACTGCAAAGAATTTATACATATTGTAATCTTAGAAAAAGAAAGGCACAGCCTGAATTGTGAGCAATCACCCTGGTATCTTCTCACAAATGAAGGCATTTCCTAAAATGGAAGGAAGAAGAGATGTCTTGCTAAAATTGCAGTCACTTCCATATGAAAGCCTTGAAGCTTTACATATGGGTTGCCAGATGAGGGGCGAACTGGCAGTCCTATGCAACGCCCACTCACAGGCTGGTTAGTCTCTCCCATCGTTACTCCTTGCCAAACACTTTTTTAAAAGATGTGTGGTCAAGTCGGACTCCAGAATATACCAAGCTCGGACAGAGAATATTTTCCCTGCACAGCTCACAATACTGTAATGTACCTCCAGGGAAAATAAAACTGAACTGAAGTGGTAAACGCTGAACCACAAGAGACTGTCAGCATCAGTCTAAGAGAATAAGGACTTCTCGCTTTCTCTTAGATATTTCAGTTCACAACCAGGATGATCCAGTGATCCTCCTTGTTTAGAGACCTTCTGCAGTTAGAGGAGTTGCAGGAGTCTTTAGTTTCACTTTCTGTAACCATGATCAGGCGCTTCCCTTTGGCAATGGTGACATTTAACTCCCAGACATTAAAATACACCTATATCTCCACTTCTTTGATTCAGTAATAAGGCCCACGTTTTTCATACCCTGAATAGCTAGGCCATTCAGGAAACAGGCCATAAGAACATCTTGGGCTTCCAAACTGATCAAAGGCAATTCCAAAACTAGGATCGGCTTGAGGATGAGACATCTCCTGCAAAGATTTGAGTTCAGAGCGCACAATCCTGTAATTTAGACCTTTGTTGCTGTCCCAATACACCTTCCCATCACACTCGTAACACACGGCAAATTCTATTCTTTCGTGGGGTTGAACTCTCTGTGGCAAGCTGACATCAAAGGAGAACGTGTCCTTATCTGAACCGGCGTAAGTGTCCTTAACATATTGGCAGGGGTAGTCCGTGAAGGTTTTCCACGTATCAAATGTCATCCGGATTTTCACAGCCTTCTCGAATGCCAGATTCCTGACTTTGACTGTACCCACGATGGCTTTATCTTTCAACATGCAGTTCTCAAGACACACGTATTCGGCCTGGAGACGGTTCCGGAAGTCCAAATAATCAGCAGAAGGCTGTACAAAATCCATGACAAAGTCATCTCTTTCCACGGTTGTCAGGCCGACAATGCTGTCTATGAGCTCCGTGATATTGAATGGAATCTCTAGGGGATCGTCAAATTCGGAAAACACTTTGACCATTGTCAGCGCGAGGCCCCTGCTGTCTGCAAAGGAGACCCGCTTTTTCACTCTGTCCTGTTGCAAAGAGTCCACCGCTCCTAGTTTGTTTAATTCAGCAGCACTGTTCAAATGGATGCAGGGCCTCAAAGGCTTCTTGGGCTTTGGAGCGATTTTGCAGGCAAAACTCTCCCTTCGCAAAGAGGGCGTCCTCAAGTAGAACTGCATGGCCACATCCACTGCCATTGTAGGCTTATGAGGAAAAGAGTCCAATATTCTAGAGGAGAAAAAAAAAGAGAGGAAATTTCACACACAATGTCACAGCAAACTGGCTTTTCATATATTGACTACAAGTCACACCTAATTCTTTTCATTAGAATATATTTATTAAGCAGAAAAGCAAGTTTTTACAGGACTATTTATTAATTTATTTACCCGATGTGTATCCCGCCTTTCTCTACCCCGAAGAGGACTCAAGGCGGCTTTACATATGGCAACTATTCAATGCCTTTGGACAAAACCACACATAAGAAGTAATATGGATACACAAAAAAACCAACTACATAATAAAACAATTACAAAAGAGAACTAAACTAAATTAAAAATTAAAATACAAAACTACAAAAAGGGGAGAAATACAGTATAGCTTCAGTTGGTGGTAATAAATAACATCCTCAAGCAACATATACTTTTATGAATATACAGGGTGTTTCAAAATGCAGAACTCGCTGACTGGAAAGTCAGCGGTTTGAATCCACAGGACAGAGTGAGCTCCCATTGTTAGCCCCAGCTTCTGCCAACCTAGCAGTTCAAAAACATACAAATGTGAGTAGATCAATAGGTATTGCTTCAGTGGGAAGGTAATGGTGCTCCATGTAATAATGCTGGCCACATGACCTTGGAGGTGTCTACAGATAATGCCAGTTCTTCAGCTTAGAAATGGAGATGAGCATCACACCCCAGAGTCAGACTCAACTAGACATAAAGTCAAGGGGAAACCTTTACCTTCAAAATGATGGGCCCAATTTCAAAGCCCAATTTCACAATGGCAACATGTTACAGTTCAACACAAAGTTATAAATAGAGTTATCAAGTTTTCCTCACTATTTTGAGCCAGAAACAAATCTAAAAAAGTAACTCTGCAAATAAAAGATCTCTTATTCGGTCTTATGTTGCCAGATGAAGCTCTGTGCCCACCTTGCAGCAGTGATTGGGATAGTAAGATGATGGTCCTTTGGAGCCAAGCCGATCTTGGCTCAACTGGACTATGTAGGTATAGGAATGGGATACATGGCTGCTTCTTTAGCTATTCCAGAGCACTACTGGCTGCGGATTAAGCAACCAGTGTAGATAAACAGCAGACCTTTACGTGATCTCATTTAATTTTTCTCCTAAAGCACCAGAAAGGAAATCCTATGATTTTTTTGTCTCTTAATAGAAAATCCTTTAGGGCAAGAAATGCAAGTTATATAATCAAACTACTACAAATTAAATCATTACATAACAAATCTTATTCAGCTGCAGGATGTTGTGATTGCTTCAGCAACCAACTGGCATGCATACTTGCTCAAAAAGACATGAATTATCAAATGAGTAAATGTGAACGGAATCCAATTGTCTCTTCATATTACAGTACTTAGTTCACTGGAATTACAAGGTTGCAGAACAATAGCCAGCATATTGATTGTTACTAAGCCAACTGGAGACCCTATGGGTGGAATAAATAAAATATACTGTAGAGTATCACGTATCCAACCTTCGCTCATCCAATGTTCTGTATTATCCAATACATTCTGCCTCCCACCTGGATCCACAGCTGTTTCAATACATAGCAATGTTTTGGTGCTAAATTAGTAAATACAGTAATTACTACATAACGTTACCATGCATTGAACTGCTTTTTCTGTCGATTTGTTGTAAAACATGGTGTTTTGGTGCTTAATTTGTAAAATCATAATGTAATTTGACATTTAATCGGCTTTTCCTTAATCCCTTCTTATTATTCAACATTTTTGCTTACCCAACGTTCTGCCGGCCTGTTTATGTTGGATAAGAGAGACTCTACTGTACATAAATGAACACTATAACTAATTTGATAGGCAGCCATTTCAATAATGATTGTTTTAAAAGACCCACACTTCTGCTTTTCAGTATTTCCCTATCATATTACACAAAATACAACTACCGTATATACTTGAGTATAATCTGGGTTTTCAGCCCTTTTTAGGCTGAAAAAGCCTCTCTCGTCTTATACTGAAGTCAATGTTATTTATTATTTACTCTGTTGTTTTTATTATTATTATTACATTTATTATTTTATTCATTGTTATTATTACATTTATTATTTTACTCTAATTATTATTGTTACATTTATTACTTTATTATTACTGCTATTATTACATGTCCATTATTTTATTCTATTATTATTTTTATTACATTCATTATTTTACTCTTTATTGTTATTGGAAGGATACGTATGCATATTTACGTTGAAGACGGTTACAATAATGGTTTGATCAGCGCTGGACAATCTTAATATACAGTTTACGTAAATATTCAAAAACATTTAATCTACTGATGCCTCAATTAACGTAATTTTATTGGTATCTATTTTTATTTTGAAATTTACCAGTAGCTGCTGCATTTCCCACCCTCGGCTTATACTCGAGTCAATACATTTTCCCAGCTTTCTGTAGTAAAATTGGATGCCTTGGCTTATATTTGGGTCGGCTTATACTCGAGCATATACAGTACATCTTTTTTCCCTCTTCACATCACTATACTTACTATGGAAAAACAGTCTTTCCTCAAGTAAGTCTCATTGAAAGACATTCTCATAAAAGCATGCTTACCTGGGAACCCAGAGGTTGCTGCATGGAAACCCAATTTCAGTCTGTAACATTCTGAACTAATTGCTCGTATTCCTAAATAAGTGGACCAAGTGCTGGTCTATTTATCAGTACTATCAACACAGGCAAAACTCACGCCAACCTAGATAGCTGAATGAAGGGCAACTCATCTGTGGTGCCTGGTAGAACTTCCTTTTGTAGTAAGTTCTCCACGCCCTCAAACACGGAAGCCTTTATCAGCTTGGCAGGAACAGGAAGCTGAAATAAGCTGCATGAGGTGATAAATGTCTGCACTAACTTCTCGAACTTCGCTGGAAAGGAAGTGGCAGCAGACGTGCGCCTTAGCAGGTTCACAGGGCACAAGAATTGAGACATTTCAGGAATTTTCATCTCAGAAACATTTGTAGAAATAAGCTTCATGTCATCGTGTCAACCAGGTCACACCCTACTAGTGCCACTAGGTTTTTCTGGCATAAATCCAGGACCAAATTACAAAAAGCAGCAAGCACAAATATACAGAAACTCTGCCTGCTGGAAATCTATCACATTCCTGTTCATATTGCTACTTCCAAGGCCTGCTGGCACACTTGCTAGATAAACTTGTTGATACTTGTCCTAAATTGTAAGCCACGATCTTTCATCCATTCACATTTAAAGACAAATGTAAAACAAAGCACTGCTTATTTGACACTACAATGGTACCAAGTCCAGCAGCAGCAAAAGTGGAGACCACAAAGCAAGTTGAAGAAGGCGGTGCACTCCAGGACAGGAAAAGCCCTCTGATTTTAAAACACCACACCGTTGAATGGAAAACAATCCTTTTATTGAAGATAATTAGAAAGCAACAAGTAAAAGCACTTAAAAGAAATAGGTAAATCCAATTAGGTAAGAGGATAAGCAGGAGCAAAAATAATCCAGGGTAAAGTTCAGCAAAGTCCATAAAGCGAAGTCTACACTTCTCTAATATAATTCAGGAAAGCAGGAAACATTAATCTAAGGCATGAGTAGGAATTCATATACTCCAAGAATCCAAACCATGAACAAGAAATACTTAAACAAGAATCTTCCGAGCAAAGCTTCCATGAAACAAACCATGAAACTACACTTGATTCCAATGACGCTTCATCTGACTATATTTCACATACATGAAACTTTTATCCCCTCGTTATGCTATTCCATGCACTCTGGAATTGGTTTCGTTTTACTTGAGATCCCCTTATCTTTTTCTATCGGAGCCTGGCAGAACGCCGAAGGCACTGTTCAACCTGTCTGTTTTGACTAATTTCCTCTCGCCTATCTATTTGCTCATTAAGTCTTGCTGCTGGGCCAGGTGCCCAGTTGTATTCAAGCCCAAATCCTGGGAACTCTCTGGTAGCAATTCAGGGAGTACACTATCATCCCTACACCCTTCAGGGACATTCTCATGGGAAACTACACTTTACACAGGGGTCTCCTGGTCTGTCTCTGCATCAGTATCATTGACCAAACCACTGACATCTTGAAATTCATTAGCATCACTTCCCACATCCAAAGCACCCCGATCCTGAAACACAATCGCAGGCTGGATGTGTTGGAACAGCAACACCCATCGATCAGCACTACCAAGGGGCCATGGCTTAAGGAAAACATATGTATAGAATAAAGATTCCCCTCCTCCCTGTTACTGCAGGACAAAACAAGCATTGAGGCAACTCAAATCTAAAGGAGATGTCATCCAGAGTTTTGGAGTTCGGTGCCATCTGTACACAGATGACACACTACTACTCCAAGGAACTCCACCTAACTCCAAGGAAGCCCCCAGATCCTGGACCAGTGCCTGGCAGCAGTGATGGACTGGATGAGGGCTAACAAGCTGAAGCTTAATCCAGATAAGACAAAGGTCCTCCTGGTCAGTCGTGAGACCGATCAGGGTATAGGGTAGCTATCTGTGCTCAACGGGGTCACAGTACCCCTGAGGACACAGGTCCACAGTCTGGGGGGTCCTCCTGGATTCAGCACTGACACCTGAAGCTCAGATGTTGGTGGTGGCCAGAAGGGCCTTCACACAGTTAAAGCTTGTGCACCAGCTGTGACCATAACTCAAGAAGTCAGATCTGGCCTCTGTGGTCCAGACTGGATTACTGCAATGCACTCTACTTAGAGCTGCCTTTGAAGGCGGCTCAGAAACTGCAATTGGTGCAAAGATTGGCAGCTAGACTACTAACTGAAGCTGGCTATAGGGTGCGCACAATGCCCCTATTAAAGCAGCTCCATTGGTTGCCAATAAGTTTCCGGTCTCCACTCTATAAAGCCCTAAATGGTTTGGGCCCTGCCTATCTTTATGACATACTCCCATGTACCTGATTAAGCATTAAGATCCTTTTGGTCCCGCCACCGTCACAACCACGGTTGGTGGGGATGGCCATGTTCTAGAAACATACTCTCCTGA